CATCAAGATCTAGTCTAAAACAGACATGGATATAAAGTTGATGTCCCACATACATCAAGAACTAGTCTAAAACAGACATGGATATAAAGTTGATGTACCACAACTGTGACCTTTTACATGCAACTTTTAGTGCTCTTATTTCTCGCTCTATTAGCTTCTAATAGTCTTATTAGCAGGTATGAGTGAAACAGTTTTGTCCCATTTGTCACTAAGTCAGTTGGAATTTTCTTCTATGCTAAACTTTTAAAGTTTTGAAGACCTATTTTCAATCCATTTTTAGTGATTAATTTTGAGGTTGACTTTATATAAATAAAAATAATTTCAATAATAGATCCACAAGAAATGAAATGTGACTAATAAAATGCTCCCAAGACATGAAATCATGACACAATACACATTTAGAGAGAGCATTCTTCCTATAACTAAAAATATTATTGGTCTTACATATAGAAAATATGGTTCACATACTACGTATATAATAAAAACAAGTTTGAATACAAGTTCTAGATCTTAGCTTCTTCATGAAAATTAAAACTGTTTGCATAAAAAACTGTTAATCTAGAAAATATATAAAAAATTGCATACCACTGAATTCTCATTCTTTCACAATATTCCTCATTATCTTCAGAGCAGCTTTCACAGGTGAAAGTAAAGAACACATCACCTAACAAATGGCTGGGTCGGCCTTTTCTGAGACATCCTGTGATAAAACACGTACAGTCATATATTAACACAAATAATTCAGTCATTATATTTTGCCAATATACAATTGCAAATTATCTAAGTAGTCATGTGCAAACAAATCATTCCAAACAAATGTGGAATAAAGTTGAGGGTTAATGTTTACTGAAACTAATGCTGGATAATCATATTGCAAAAAAAGGCTAACACTTTACAACATTGAAAATGCATTTCTGATAGACCCTTCTGTTCATATATAGTTTTCTTGATTCAATGCTGCTCTCTATATGTGAAATTTTTGCTTGCCACTAGCCTTGAGGCTCCCAACTAAACTTGCATCTTTCCATGTGAAATGAGCATGTGACAACCCTCCACCAATAGGAGTGTGACACACCCTCCTAGCACAAGTGACTCCCTGTATACTGATTGTTCAATCATCACTTCAAGATTAGGCAAGAAAAGATGCACCAGAAGTGGAAAGGATGAGAGGAGGTACGTATCTAACAGAAATACATTTTCAGTGTTGGAAAATGTTAACTTTTGATATAATAAATAATCTCTGCTCCTACACAGCTAGAATCCCACATTGAAGTGGTGGAGGGATCAGTGCACAATTTTCCTATATGAGCCTCCTTTATGAAGCACCTGAAGGGAAACCCATAGAATGTGTTACCCTATACCAGGGATTCTCAACTTTTCCTCCATCATTAACCCCCTCGGCTTGATGTATTTCTCCATTTACCCCCTTACTTCCATACAAAAAATTCACAGCCATCATAAAGGGACAGAAAAACAAGGTCAGAAAAAAATATATTATTCAGGTTTTGCATAAAAATAGCACACACACACACACATTTGTAGCATTCTCTCTCTCTCCACACACACATTTTACAAAATGAATGTAATTTTTTACCCCCATGGGGTAAATTTACCCCTGGTTGAGAATCACTGCCCTATACTATGAAACAATATAGGAGCACACATCCATGGGAAACCACACCTCATCTATATAAGGATACACTCTTCAATCAATCCATTATCCAAATCAGTATCACAGACATGCCAATTTGTGTAGCGTGACTAGGGCATGTCAGACCATATATGTTGGATGAACTCCAGTCTAAAATCAGGCAGCATAGGGTATTTTTCATCCAGTCCATAGTAGAAGGAGAGTCCCTACCATCTTCATCTCAATCCCAGTGAAGTAGAACAGAAAAGTAACATTCACCCTGCAAACTGAGTGAGGGGTCCTGCACCAATCCAACACCAGACCATGGTAGGATGAGGGAAAGCCAGCTTGAGGCATGAACTTGACTACACCAACAAAATACCTCCACCCTACTCTCTACTATGTGGAACTGGTCACACTCAGGAAGAATCCTCTACGATCCACTACCCCAGCAACTAGGAATTCCTATATAGCAAGGACTCCCATGCTCCACTAGAAGAAAAGGGAGGGAGGGGGTGAAAGCATGTAGGGGAGCCTGGAAGAGTGCAACACCATAAGACAGTGCAATGGGTGACCATGAAAATCCTATATTGAAAAACAGGCCAGCACCAGTTTATTTGAATAGACATGAAAGAAGGGAAGCTATCCCCTGCCTGCTTTACTCATTATAGCCCACAAGTGGATACAATCTAGACTGTGCCTTGTTTGGGAAATTATTCACTGCAAGTATACCTCTAGCAGTTTTGTAGAACACCCCTTCTCATAAATGAGCACAAAATAGAGCCTTGAATGCCCTACATAATGAACACATACTATACCTCATTCACCTACCTAACCATAACACACTCACTGTATTAGCCATATACGTCTCCCCAACATCACCGGAGATCTTAACTCTAAACATACAGATTTCAACTGCAGATCCACAAATAGAAACGGTAGAATACATCATTACTTACTTAATGATAACGGCTACTATACCATTAATAGTAATAGCATGACTCACACTAATACCAATGACATACAAGACATATTAGATCACGCCATAAGTTTCTCCATATCTAATCTCTCACTTTTTTTGAATCGTTAATGAACTGTTGAGAAGAAGGCATGATCCTGAGGGTTAAATTAATGGTAGGTCACAAGTTTAAAGGAAAGGAATGCGGGTCACTAAGTAGGAAGCACTTGAACTGAGGGTGCAAACCCCTGAAGGAGTGAGTGCTGGAGGGGCGGTGAGAAAATTTTCTAAGTTCAACACTCAGAAGATGCAAATCTCTATATTTTTTTGGAACCAAGTACAGGTTATACCAACCATATTAAGGATATGTTGCTTACCATGCATGACCCACCATCCCCACCCCTATATACACTCACTGCAAATGCTGCACAGGCATAGGAACAGAGGGATTGGGGGCAATATTAAGGACCCCATGTGATTGAACAACAAAGGAATATGTGCCACAAATTAACACACTAATTGGATTTATTAGAGTTTAAGTATTAAAGTATTTAGCATATAAATTTGTTTAGTGTATAACGTTTGCCAAGTCTTGTACTTAAGCAATCACGAATTTTATTTCATGAATAAAAATGAAGATAAAGGAGACTTATGCATAAATCGAAGTATTCTTCATCATTACTAAGTCTAATTTTTTTATTCCTTTTGGTGAGCAAGTTGATCAAGGGCTTGTTTGGAGTTGTTTTTGCAAGACCACTGACCAGGTCAAGTGGACCATCATTGAAGAAGTTAAAGCAAACATGCTTAAAATTTACATCACAGTCAGTACAAAGACTATCAGTAGAAAGAAAGCTTTCTTTCAACCATATTTAAATATCTTGAGACACTGGTGTTTCTACTTATTAAAGAAGTTTCACTTTATCCAAGTTTCACTTAATCATATCCAAGTACAAATAAAACTTACAATGAGTTATTCATGCTGGAAAACAACCTTCAGTGTTGTTGTTGTTTTTCTTGGTGTGTGCTTGGATTGGTATTTTTGGTAGGAGAACAATCAGCTATCAATACCAGAAAACAAGAGTTTGAACTACGATATTAAGGCAAATGGAAATTACAATTTGAAATGTGTATTTATTAATTAATTCTTTTAAAATGTTAAACTCACCTTAACTTTGCTTTACCACTTCAATTTTTTTTTATAATCCAGTCTAAAATTAGTGTATTGATAATGCATACCCATTATATAAGTTGTAATAATTTTTAACATCTTTCAGACAGAATCTGTTAGTACAGCAATGGGAGATCCTGTAACAGTTGAAACACCCACAAAAATTGATAACCCCGTCAAAGCCAATGTCCCATTTAAGTAAGCACTAAGTAAAGACATGAAAGTTGGTATTACTGATCCATATTTTCATCACTTAGATATTGGCAATTATATAGAAAATAGTAATGTGGACAATGTATTAAACACAGAATTACTAAAAAACTGTTGGAAGCCACCGTCCAATTACATAATGCCATTCTCGTCACACACAAAACAAGGGAAAGAAGAAAGATGGTATTTTAACCGTAGATATTTGGCACAGTATCCATGCTTTGCATACAGCCACGTAAAGTGTGGGCTTTTTCTGTGGATACTATGTGCTGTTTGCACAACATGATGTTGGTTTACATCAACAGAATTGAGTCAATATATTTATTACCGCACCTCTGACAAAATTTTCAAAATTCACCAGTAAAGACAGTGGGCTAATCATACATAATTCACGGAAGTATCACCAGTTGGCAGTATACAGGGCCATGGAATTTCTAAATGTTCATCATCTGGAGGGAAGAGATCTTTACATTTTCCTACACTGAAAATGTATTTCTGATAATAATTTATCTTTATCCCAATGAAAGATTCTCTTCTTTGCCTGTCTAAGCACTGGTATGAATTCTACCTTATTTGCTCCAGTCTTTATACCCCACCATATAGCCCCAAGCAAGTTTAATCTTGTGACTCCACCTACGTCAATGCACCCTCTATACCTAATCCACATATAAGCTCCCCGTTATTCTTTTTTATTCCATTTTTCAAGACTGGCAAGATTATCAGACCCAAACACCAGCTATCGTGGGGAGGAAGGGCAGGATAGTGTGAGAAGAGGTATTATTGGAAATACATTTTAGATACAGGAAATACACTTACCTCCTCTCACAGTTTAGCTAGAATCCCACAATGAAAGCATCTGCACAGAAAAACAGATGTGCAAAATTGAGATATAACAGAGCACACTAGTAGGGGTTCACACTACTTCTGGAACAGGTATGCTCTTCATCCAGATAAAGTGAAATCTAAATGTGGGCAGTAAAGGCCAACCGGCTACAGAGTCAACATTGTTCATTATCATGAGATTCGTCCAGGTCCCAACCACATAGACTAGGTTCCACGTCTTGTAGTTGAAATTATAGGGTTGTGGATGCAAAGCTAGATCCAAAGTGAAGAGGCTAGGGCATGGGGACCACAATATGATATAATTGTATAATAGGAATATGATATGAAGAGAACCCAACCTGAAAGTTACAGGATGTTGTATGTCAAGGCAATGGAATTGAGAAGGCAAGCAACACCCAAGTGGACCAACCTTCATTCCAACCTGAAGAAAGACAAAATGCAACAAACCAAACTAGGAATTACAGCCCAGACACACAACCTGAAACTAACAGAACGTCACATGTGAGCCACCAAAATTACAAATGAAAGGCAAGCAACACCCAACTGGGCAAGTCTTCCTCCCAACCTGAAGAAGCACAGAATGCAACAAATGAAATTCAGAATTATGGAGCCAATTGACACCTCACTCAACCTGAAGAAATAGAGATCATCCAGCCTGGGATGATGAACCAAAATCTTAACTCCCCAACCTGTGAGGCAAAGCAACACCTCCTGTCTCTGAAATTATATGGAGGATGTGGAACAAATGAAGTTCAACAAAAAGCTCACAGATGTGATGCTCCGCATGCAGAATTATGAGTCCTCTTCCATGATCATGGAAAGTAATAGAATGACCAAAATGATGGGCCACGTTTACACAACCAGATAGTGAAGTGTCATCTCTGAACCAGAATTATGAGGAGGCTCTCACATAGGCTGGTCCAGTTCCCTACCAGACTTATGGGAAACTATCCAGGGTTAAGGGTAGGAGGATATCCAGCTTTGCCCTCTTCTGCTTGAGGGAAATAAAGAGTACAAACTTTACAGGAATAGACCTCTGTCCACCACTCCAGCGACTGGAAACTGAGAGTGGTAAAGACTCCCTTGCTCCACTAGAAGAGGAGGGGGGGTTACAATAGGGAGTCCTAAGGAATGATGCTCAAGAGACAGTGTAATAGGTGAACCACATTTCCTATTTTGAAAATCAAACCCACCCTGATTTGTTAAATTCAGAGGTTAACAGGGATGGGCAGTCTTTTTACGCTTTAGTCATGATAATCCATGAGTGGCAGTCCAGTACTGTATATTATATTTGATACAGAACAATAGTTCACCACCCGGAAAGCATCAAGGTAGTCTTTTGGTACACCCCATCTCCACAGAGCTCGTTGCTATCTGGAAGTTAGTTGTTTTTTTTTCTTTAGTCTACTGGTAGCTAATACAGATTTGTAAAAGCATACCTGTCCAGGCAACACTTGCCACTGAGTGGGATCCAAATGAAAATGACAAAAAGGTCCCTGAAAAGGAGCATAAAAGAAAAAAGTTACTCAACTCTATCACAATTGAGCCTGGTCATGTAGAATAGTCACAGAGGAAACCCATCCGAGGAGGAGACTGCTAACTCATGTAAATAGCATGATATAAGGGTGTTAGGTGTGGTCCACATACAAACCTGTACAATTACCTCCAGCAGGCAATGCAACCAAACTGCAAGGAATATCAATATATGTCGAACTTGATGAGATAAAACCCAAAGAAGTCTCCACTCCTCCAATGAAAGATCAGAGTAAGCTATCCAAACCAACTGACAATTCCAACTTTTTAAAGTGACAGGGGATAAAGCATGTGATACCGAAGGATCCCAATGGATAATTAACCAGTGAAGTGAGCCCCAATATGCTTAAGTGCATGCCCAAACAGGGTATTAAAGGTGATCCGAAAGGTTGTATAAATGGGAAATGGAGGGAAGATGAATAGGAGAGAAAGAATTATCTCATTTTCTAGCTGCTGCAGTTTTAGGCAGATAGGTGGAGGTGATAATGCATGGAGAGCCACTGTGATATTCCAATTAGGAGCCTGGAAAGGGCAATGATGAATAACCCAAAATGATTTCAAAAGTAATGACAAAACAGGGACTCAAAAACTTTTATTCTCTTAGAAAAACGAAAATTAGCTGAAAAGGCAGCCTTATACAAATCAACAGACAAAAGCACCAAACCTTTGTCAAAAAAACTATTTCCAAAATCGATGGACATGCACGCAATGGGACACAAAGGGTTAAACCCATGTCTGAGAGACCATTGACAATAGTATGTGCAAAAACTATTAACTTAATAAATTATTTTGAAAATATTAAACTTGTCAAAAAACTATTACACCTAAAATACATAAACAGATAATACAACTCTTGTTGCACAATAAATAAGCAGTTAGTTTTTTATTTCTAATTTAATAGTAATTAAATTTTGAAACAAAAGTTAGTGCCAACAAAAATACACACTAGAATATTTCATGCTATGCAGTATGCTTAAATATATGTTCTTAAATTCATAGGTGTAAAGAAAGGGGAAATACATAACTTTCATAGATCAAAACACAATTTCTAGTAACTTGAGAGATTTTATGTTAATGTTCAAAAACAAAGTATTTATTTATTTTTCCTCATATAATATGCCTATATTTATCAAACAGAAACACACACTGTCTAAACAATTAATGGGATGATAGATTCGAAAACTCATAATGACCTATAAATACTGTAAAAGGAAATGAAGTACTAAAAATACTGCAGTTTATAAGTAAACTTGGAAATATAAATCAATTAAATCTATCGGTTTTATGAAACTGTCTAAACTTGACACTTTTTGGTAACTGCTGGATTATTTCATAATAACTGGAATTACAATAACAACAACTTAAAAGCTTAACTAATTCAATAAACAAAAATAACAAACCTGGATGAAAAAGTTTCCTACATCCCTGACATTGAAGCATGTCGGAGTCTGTTGTTCCTATGCCGCAGTAACAATGAGAAGGTTTTCCACATCCACCCAGATCCATAACAGAAATTTAAATGATTTCTCTAGTCTCACGCTTTCTTAATATTTCAGTTTATGGTCAGAAAAAAAAAATTTATTAGGATCACATGAAGGAAATACTTTGTAATATTTAATAGATGAAGTATAATAAAAAATAACTCGTACTTTGTTTTTAGGAATATACATATTTAGTTTTTTATCAGCTATTCCAATGGATAAAATACAAAAGAAGCATTTACTTATTTCTGTTTTTTATATGCATAAGCACATAAAGATTAGTAAATAACTGGCACTGTTAAATAATTTTCATACAATTGTTAAGTATTTCTTACAACAGCATATCAAATCTATTGCTAAATTAAGCTACTACAACCATCATCAGTTCTGGACAATGTCCTGCATGCTGACATACATTTTACCCAACTTGTATTTTTGAAACATGAAGAAAATGAAAAGAATAATTTCGTTTTTGAAGCCCCTGTTCATGTCCTGAAAATAACTTATGATCCTTGGTGTGTCTCTGATAAAATTGTGTTCCCCCTAGGATAATTTTTAGGATATATTCATTTCAAATACGGAGGTTTTTCTTTATAATCACCCAGTATTTACAATATCTTAGATGACATCATTCTTGATTTTACAATCATAAACTGTTACTAAGAGGATTTCTTGCTATAAACACAGCATGAACAAAAAAAGTAAGTGATATTTTTTTCACTTACAGTAGGAAACATTTTTTGAAAAATTGTCTGCTAGAGTTAATGCACTCAAGATTTGGTTGTCCAACCAAAACATTAAGTTGTCTGAGCTGATTAGCTAATGCCTGTTTGGCCAAGACTACATAGCCTGTGACAGTCTATAGATTAATTTTGTGACTTTATTATACATTTGAAGAAGCAATTTCCTAAGTGCTTGGTTATCATGTGTGATATATGGGCATATCTTGCATTTTCTACTTTCTGTGATAATACAGAATGTTTTAAAGTTTTTTTATAACTTAGTTTTTGCATTGTCATGTCAGCTACATGTGGTCCAGAAAGTTGTTACCTCTTCTTCACTTCTTTGTTCCTTAGTAAGTGACATTTCTCTACCCACATGGATGTTTCAGTATTGCATCTAGACTCTCAGTTGAATGGGTTGGCATGGAATACCCCTTTCTGGACAATTGTGACACTAACAGTCGACTAATGCTGTCAGAAAACAAAGGTCACGAGATGATGTCATCCACTGGACAAAGAAAGTAAGCATACTTTCTTTGTTCAGTTCTATGTAATTTTGTATTGTGATTAGTTCAGCAGCGATTCATCTTGAGGGACAGAAAGCTGACTAGCCATTCAATGAGTCAGTACAGGTGACTGTCCACTTGCCTCAGGCTTGCAAAGTTTTGTATTTTGTCTTGTCTAAATAAAGACTGTTTCAATGTTCTTGAAATGTGTCCAATCTGTTTATTTCTCACACAACTTGATTTCAGGTAAATTATCAACAACAGAATGCTTTCCATATTTTTTGATACAATCTGCTGTTATTTCCAGCTTACAAGTCTGATACTTGTCAGGAAATTGATTTTATCTAAAAATACTACATATATTGTTAATGATTATAATGAAAGAAAAAAAAATGCTTATGCTGTTTTCCATAATAACATATTTACTTTAATTCTCTAATTTAACATATATTTTAAAAAATTGTAGTGATGTTTAGAGGGAAAATTTATGCATAAGAAAATGTTGTCCTTGTATGGATTTTGGCCTGAACTTCAGCTGGATCTTAAAGTTGTAGATTAGACTTTAAATACACATCTAACAACTTATCACAAATGCTATCAAAGCTGAAATCTAAATAATGATAATTTACAATATTTGATGACAATAAAGGATATGTTTCCTCAATGTTTGGTTCAATCAGGCATCTTCAAAACTACTAAGTTTTATTAATATATTTTCTACATGGAAGTTTATTTCTAGTGCATTTTTATACCCTACAGCAATGCAACTTACAAACAAATATAGAAAAATTCCCTAATTTTACTATATGTCAGATCAATAGTGTTAACTTATGAAAACTTTAGAGAAAGAATGACACATTGAGTCCACACAGTATACCATATTTACATCACAATTTGTCTTTTCTTTAATGTTGTAAGCATAGGTTATAGCTAGTGCTTTACCAGTAATACTTATTTCAATACACACTTCATAATGTGCTAAATATTACACAGCGTAAATAAACATGAGCTTTTCACTCTTAGTTACAACAAAATTTAATTTCAATTAAATCCTTTTTAACTTTCAAATGTACTTGTTTGTCTTTTTGTTGTTTTCACCTTAAAGTGTATAATGTTTCTATTATTCCTGTAGATTTATACTAATGTTCTAATATGTCAATTTATTTACCCAATAATAAGTTACAGACAGTGTCGATTTCATCTCACTGACTGATTTGAAACCGATAACCTAAAGTTGTTTTTGCTTCTTTATGAACTTCCTAAACTATTAAACCCATAAAGATGCCATTTCATTTCCAAGTACACAAGTTCAAAATGGTGGATTTTCAAAAATCTGGACAGTTGAGCAATCATTCCAGGTGTGTCTTTTAAAAACGGGTTGCTAATCAGGCTGTTGGTTGTAATATTTTAATTGTTTAATAATTATTTATGACTGTGCTGGATTGCTAGACAATTTTTCTCAGCCTTATTAATGGAATAAAACCACACAGTACATGTATGAAAAAGAAATATAGTAGAAAAGGTCAATACATAAAATGAAAAAAAAACAACAATAACTGGAACAAGAGTTGAGATGAGATGCTTAGACAATAGTGCAGAAACATGATCCATAACAAATATACATAATTCAACATCCATTACATAAAGGTTTTATTTGACAGTTTTGCTAACTAACTCCAGCCAGTTAGTAATCTCAAATTGTGGCATAAATTTTAAACTAGAGACCATTTTATAGCAAAGATGGCATGCCATGGAAATAATCAAAATTAAGGATAAGAGGTAACACAAATGATAATATCTTTGCTTGTATTCAACCATATTGCAATACTGAGCTTTCACTTTCAGAAAATTTGTATTGGAATCATCTGACATAATTTGTATACAGCAAAACACATACATTGATGATGAAGTGTCACAGTTAATGTAACTGCTAATTTCTCCATTCCACAACTAGTAAATAATATATTTTTATTTCGACATATTCAGGTAACATTTTCTATATTTTTGTGCAGATGTTCTGCATACAGTTAGTGACATCCTTAACAGGATATACAGAGATCATAAACATGCACTAATCCATTTGCTTAAACAAAGATAACATACCACAGTGATTATTCAGTTGGGCTTATATTCACTTGGCCTTGTTTCAGTGTAATACCCTTCTTCAGTGAAGTAATAATGATTTCAAAGAGTGGTAAGACACTTTTAAAAATTACTATAAGTCTAGACTGGAATAGAAGTTTACCTTCTTTGATGATGTATACTTGGAATGATCACTGATATAGATGATCTGATGATTGTGGTATACCGCACTTCTACTTCTTAGTATGATACCTTAATTATTCTGAATATTATTTCTAGCCTGTGCAGATATGTTACTTCCAAATTGTTTTCCTGCCCTAGCAGCTAGAAGTACAAGCATACATAACAAATCTAGAATATAAAAAGTGATGCAACAAGAATTATCTGTTGTGAAATGGAAAACTGAATTAATTGGAGATATTGATAAAAAACAAAAAAAACTAGTTGGCTCAAGACAGACATAGCTTATAAGGGATAAAAGAAAATTAAAGAAAAGCATTATAAATTTAAGAAGTTTAAATTGACTGATATGATAGAAAACTTGAGAGAATTACAGAAGATCAGGAGAATTGATTTAGTGGTCAAATGAAACACTTGAAAATAAAATTCACCATCTAACAGTTTTGAAGCCTGCAACTTAGGTACATAAAGTGATAAACTAAAGTAGTAAAATATTAATTACAGTAATGATGTTTTAATGAAAACTTGTCACAATTGTAACAGAAGAAATATGGGGCTAGACAACTATGATTAAAATATTCAAAAAAGTCACTATATAACTCTATAATTCTTATATATTATCATTACATGCATAATCTGTTAACAGTGCACTGAGAGAGAAGGAAACAGCGAAATACATATCCAGAGCCTGATGTTTTGTGTCAAACTCAAATGGAGTTGAATGATTTATTTTAGCTCTTGTAAAATATGATACTGCTCATAGATGCTTTAATTTTATGTGCTTTTAACTTGCCAGTTTTAACTGTGAATTATATAAAACAGTGAAGGTTGCGTCAGCGAAATAATTCAGTTTCAAACATATTTATTGAATGCTTCCCGTTCCAGTGCTAGTAGTAGTACAGGTAGTAGTACTAATAGTAATACAAAAATTTTCTTTATTTTCTCTTTGTATATCATAATTATTATACTTGATTGCATTATATTTGGAACTAAATATTCAGAAACGCCATTTACTATAAATGCTACACGTAAAGATAAACGGTGATGTTTTTCTAGTGACTTTTACAAACCTTTTTCGTTTTTCTATGATTTCTTGGGTGCATCCATAACACATTGACTATTCTCGTACTCAGTCATAAACTATATTATCAAACATAATAAATAGGTACACAGTCATAAACTATATTATCAAAACATAATACATAGGTACACAGTCATAAACTATATTATTAAATAGAAGAGAAAAAAAAAGCTAAAAAAATGGTAATTTAGAATGTGAAATTTAACTTCTAAAATTCTGTTATGAAAAAAAATAATTACAGTTGTACTTAACTGGAGTACTATGAGTACTATCACTGTGCTTGTATCCGTAGTATGAAAACTAGTACTACTTATACAAAAATGTTTCTTCATTTCTGTTTTTCTACTTATATCATGGCCTGGTGCTTAGGGCGTTCGACTTGCAATCTGCGGGTTGCGGGCTCGAATCCCCGTCACACCGAACATGCTTGCCCTTTCAGCCATGGGGACGGTATAATTTGCAGTCAATCCCACTATTCGTTGGTAAAGAGTAAATCAAGAATTGGCGATGGGTGGTATTGACTAATTGCCTTCCCTCTAGTGACTAGTCTATCACTGCTAAATTAGGGACGGCTATTGTAGATAGCTCTCGTGTAGCTTTGCGCGAAATTCAAACCAAATATTTTTTTATTTCTCAGTTGTTATATAGAATTGCACTATACTTGTCCAACAAAGGATATTACAATCAGTGACCCTTTCAACACGGATGCGCGATGCTATCGCAATATCCCCCTCTGAAGAATAGATGTTATCTGCTATAGAGAACAAATAAACAAAGCAACTAGAACAGGACAACATCAACGGTTTGGTGAGTTTGTATTTTTGTTAAGCGCAAAGCAGCACAATGGGTTATCTGTACTCTTTCCACTGCAGCAATCGAAACTTGATTTTTAGTGTTATATAAGCCCTCATACTTACTGCTGAGCAACCGAATTTAGGTTTATGCAAAAACTGAAGATAAATAATAATTCCTACATAACTAAAATCTGATAGAAAATATATGATATGCCTGTATCACATTTTCTTTTCTCCTCTTTTTCAGGCTTGTCCTCAAGCCATCAATTAAAATTACGTTTAAAATCGATAATCTTACTATCTTGTGGTGGTCAAGAAGTACGTCAACTTTCCTTTGTTCCTAAGAGCAGCCCCCCCCCCCCAGTGGCAAAGCGTTATGTTTGCGGACTTACAACACTAGAAACACTAGCTTTGTGTATAACTACAAACAACCAGACAAACTCCCAAGTTCGATGACGAGGAACCCACTTTGAGACTAATAATGGCTGGAGACGGCTTGAATGGGTAATGAAGAAAAACTTTAATATAAGTTTAACATAACAGCAAATGTACAACGTTTCGACAAGGTTTTGGGTACCTGATAATGACAAAACCTTGTCGAAACGTTGTACATTT